TTCACTGTAGGGCGCGTGCGCTCGCCAGACAGACAGAGAGAGACATAGAGACAGAAAGCGAGAAATCACCCCCCAGGGGGGATGGTCACGCCGCAATCCCTTCTCCTCCATTCTCCTCTCGGGATCTTGGGCACACAAGCACACGCACCCGGAGTGAGTTTTAAGTCACTGGGTCCGGGACACGAACCGCGGTCGACTACGTGGGAGTCCAGCGACATAGCCATTACGCTAACTGCTGGTTCCCACAAGTTATAGGTTTTTATAAATGCCAAGTGTAAAAAACGTCCTTCCTTTATTTCCTTCCTTTCCTTCCCTTCCCCTCACCTCCCTTCCCTTCCTTCTTTCCTTTCTCTCTGGTATTTCCTGTTCACATCATGAAGACATGAACAAACCTGGACATGACTTGAGAAATCACAAATGTTCAATAAATGTGAAAATACCCATTTGCTATTAAAGGAATGTAAATTAAGACAATAAGGTACGAGTTGACAGCGACCAAATTAGCAAAAATATGAACAATGATGACACTACAGGGCAGGGGAAGAATGTTCTCAGAGAGGATTAAATTGAGTATCAGCTGGGAAAGCTCTATTGAGAGTCTTCTTATCCTTCTTGTCTGACTTACTAAGTAAAATCAACTTATTGAAATATAATTTATGCATTCATTTAATGAATTTTGATGGATATACACACTCATAAAAATACCACCATAATCAATGAAGAACATTTCTATATCTTCCCCCTTTTTTTTTATTTTTAGAAAGATTTTTGCTATAGGGTGCATGTGCTGGCCAGAGACACAGAGACAGAGAGAGAGAGAGACAGAAAGCAAGAAATCACCCCCCAGGGGGATGGCCACACCACAATACCTTCTTTTTTTTTCCCTTTTTGTTGGAGAGGTTTTTGTTATGGGGCACGTGCACTTGCCAGAAAGAGCGAGACAGAGAGAGACAGAGAGACAGAAGGTGAGAAATCATCCCCCAGTGGGGATGGCCATGCCGCAATCCCTTCTCCTCCATTCTCCACTTGGGATTGTGGTCATGCATGCACATATGCCTGGTGTGCGTTTAAGCCACCAGATCTGGGACTTGAACCACAGTTGGTTACATGGGAGTCTAGCGACATAGGCATTATGCTAACTGCTGATCCCCACAATCCCTTCTATTCCATTTTCTTCTCAGGCTTTTAGGCATGCACGTACATGTGTGGGAGTCCCGAGCTACTGGGTCTGGGACTCAAACCACAGTCGACTAGGTGGAAGTCCAGCTATGTGACAATTCTCCTGCTTAAGGGAGAGTAGCCACCATTCATATGTGGCAAATGAGTACCTGAGTTGAGGCTAGTCTGAATAAAGTTGTTATGTAAATACAAAACACACTGCATTTTGAAGAAGTGTAAAAAAACAAATTATCTCATTAAAAAATATTAAATGTGAGTTGAAATGACAGCATATTAGATTAAAGGAAAATAAAAACCATATTTCAAAAGTTTGTTTATTTCTTCCATGAGTGAGGGAGACAGAGAGAGAGAAATGGCACCACCAACAGGGTCTTTATGCTGTAGTCTATCCTCGACCTCAGCTGGCTCAGAACACTGACACTTGTGCTCGGATCTGACATGCGTAGGGAGGTTCTAGGACTTGAATCTAGGACTTTTTCTATGTGGATCCAATTATGTTACCACTGTACCACCATCTACCCTCATAAATAAAATATATGATTAAAATTTCATCTGCTTTTTTTTAGACTTTTTAAAAGTGACAGACAATTTTAAAGGACATATGAGACATATATTTTATTCTACTTGTCAAAAACTTAGTTAGGATCTTGTTTTTGATGAATTAATTTATTTTTGGATAGAAATGCTGTGTCGTGATCCTCCCGATTTAGTCTTCCAGCAGGGACCACAGGTGCACACCGTCACTCCTGAGCTCTTATTTTAGACAGGTTCTTGTTTGTTGCCCAGGCTGGTCTGAGCTCCTGATCCTTCTGCATGAACCTCCTGCCCTACTGATATTTTAGGCTCACACCACAATGCCCTGGTTTCGGGTTGGGCAGGAAATCAAATACAGGCCTTTCACATGGTCCTGGCTTTTGGGGCACGTGTCTTAGCTACATATGCTACTGTGACTTGGCTCCAACCTGGTTATTTATTTATTTTTTAAGAAGTATTTATATGTTATTATTATTATTATTTTTATTATTTAATTTGACCAGAGACAGAGAGTGAGGGCAAGAGTGAGAGTGAGAACATGCATGTATGAGAGAGAGAGAGAGAGAGAGAGATAGAGAGACAGAGAGAGAGAGAGAAAGAGAGAAAGCAACCTGCCAGGTCTGGAACTTGAACCACAATTGGCCATGTGGAAGTTCAGTGCCTTATCCACTATGCCACCTACTGGCCCTGAGCCTGATTAATTCTCAATTCATCTTCAAGATTTATATATTTGAGCTTTCTACAAACTTCTCTCAGTTTTGCTGGCATGGTCACTTAGGCTTTCTCTTATCTTGACTTTGACCATGTTTTGGAGAAATAGGGCGAGTGATTCATGCATCTATTTTACTCAGTAGACTAAAGCTCCTCTAGGGCAGAACCATATTTTGTTCACTATTGTTCCTTTAGAGCCTAGCTCAATGACCAATATGATGTGGATGCCACTTAATATTTATTAAAAAAAATTGTCAACTTATAATACTAGAAGTTCAGAAAAGTGTTTTGCACAAAAATGTTCATCAAAGTACTATTTATAGTTTTTAGAAACAGGCAACACAAGATTGGTTAAATAAAGTGAACCATATTTATGCAGTAAGTCATTAGGCAGCCATTCAAAATCTTTGCTACCTCAAAAAATAAGTGCCATGTATTTACTGCCTATAGCTAATAGCATATTCAACGGTGAAAGGTTGAAAACTTTTCCTTTTATATCAGAAACAAGACAAAGATATTTTTTAACACTGCTAATTAAGCAATTAGGCAAGAAAAAGAAATAAAAGGCATTTAAATTGGAAAGAAAGAAGTAAAATGATCTTTTTACAAGTGACATAATCTTATATGTAAAAAGACCTAAAGATGCTATAAAAAACCATTAGTACTAACAAATTCTGCAAAGTTGCTGGCTATTAAATGAACACATTGGAGCCAGCAGAGGGCATAGCACTTCCACATGGTCAACCACAATTTGAGTCTCAGACCTGGTAGTATGAAACTCATGCTGTGTGGGACCAGCAGTTGGTGTAATGGCTATGTCACTGGACTCTCATGTTTCAACCGTGGTTCAAGTCCCGGACCCGGTGGCTTAAACTCATGCTGGGTGCATGTGCATGCATGCCCAAGATCCCGAGAGGAGAATGGAAGAGAAGGGATTGCGATGTCCTTCTCCCCGGGGGGAGATTTCTTGCTTTCTGTCTCTTTCTGTCTCTCTCTGTCTTTCTGGCAAGTACACATGCCCTATAGGAAAAACCTCTAAAAAACAAAAAGAAACTCATGTGTGTGCGTATGCATGCATGCCCAAGATCCCAGGAGGCAAACGAAGGAGAAGGAATTGTGGCATGGTCATCCCCTATGGAGGGTGATTTCTCATTTTTCCTCTCATTCTTTCTGGCAAGTGCACATGCCCTAAGGGAAAAGTCTATTAAAAAAATAAGAACTAGTTGGTATTTTGTACACCAACAATGAATCATCCAAAAGAGAAAATAATTCCACTTAATGTAGCAACAAAAAGGATAAAGTACTTAGGAATAAAGTTAGCCAAGGAAGTGAAAGACTTGTTCACCCAGCATAGCAAAACACTGTTGAAAGAAATTAGATGCAAATAAATGGAAAGACATTCCATGTTCATGGATCAGAAGACAATATTATTCAGATGATTAGATCTTAATATTTTAAGATTAGATCTACAGATTTAATTTAGTTTCCATGAAAGTACAAAGGGCACTTTTTTGCAGAAATAGAAAAACCCATCCTAATATTCATATAGAATCTTAAAAGAACCCAAATAGCCAAAACAATCTTGAAAAAGATCAAAGTTGGGACCAGCAGTTAGTGTAATGGCTATTTCGCTGAACTCCCATGTAGTCGACTGCGTTTCGAGTCCCAGACCTGGTGGCTTAAACTCACGCCAGGACGTGTGTGTGCATGCCCAAGATCCCGAGAGGAGAATGGAGGAGAAGGGATTGCGGCATGGCCATCCCCCATGGGGGGCGATTTCTCACTTTCTGTCTCTCTGTCTTTCTGGCGAGCACATGTGCCCTGTAGCAAAAACGACTGAAAAAAGAAAAAAAGGTCAAAGTTGAAGCTAGCCATGATAGCTCAGCTCTAAGACAATGCTCTACAATGTTGAAATCACATTTAAAAATTTTTCTTTTAGGCTTTTGCTATAGGACACGTGTGCTTGCTGGTGAGAAACAGCACAAACAGAGGGAAAGTGAGCAATCACTCCTTGGGTGTATACACATCCACCGAGCATGATTTTCAAGGTGTTTGGTCT